TGATTCTTCCAAAATCAGAAGCTTCCAAGCATTGTGCATATAAAAAAGTAGAAAGTTGAGTATATCTCCAGAGTATGCATTGGCCATATACATAGTGTGTGTGTGTGTACATTCATGTGCGTAGGGGGTATATGTGTGCCTGCTGATATAGGAGAAGAATTCTCATCATTTTCTATCCTTGAAGATTGATATTTTTCTGGAAAATCTCCTATGTCAAAAGTTTTGAAAAAATGTCTCAGAACTGTACTATGCAATATAGTACACTGGTGATGATAAACAAAGACATCATATCTAAAAAGGTAGAGATATTTTTAAGAGCTGCTTTTTTCACATGCAAACCTTTGTTATCTCCTAGGACAGTATAGATTATACATTTCTGATTCTTTTTATGGACTATAACTTAGAGTAATCTGCATTCCAAATATTCATCACCTATAATATGTTTTTAAAAATTATTTTCCATATGAAGACATGGTATACAAATTACTTATATAACTATACTTTCTTAGTTTGAAGGAATTCTTAGTGAAAAGGAAAACACATTTGTCTTTTATTTCTCTGTGACAAAATAACTGTGCTTCAATTCATATTCTATAAAATATGGTAAATTAATAGCAGCTGTTCATGTTGATCTTTCTATAATTCATCAAGAGGGCACGTTTCAGTGGAATTTAGAATCATAGAGTTGGAATATTTCTTTGACTTTAACTTCATTTGATACTATGAGACCTCCCTGCACTCTAGTATCCCATAAACATTAGAATTCCCTGACATTGTTTCACACGTGTTTGCACGTAGTGTGAGCCATTCTTCTATTCCCTTTATGCTTCTTGATGTTTACTGCTATAGAGTAAAAGATGGCAATGATGATGTCTAATCATTTCAAATGAAATGCAACTAGAGCACCAAACTGCAAATGTACTAAGCTGACACATTATATTCCAAGAATTAATATAGTATATTCCAGCTCAAAACTGGTGCATTAACTGCCATATAATTCTGTTTCAAAAGTGTCTTAACATATCTCCAACAGCTTCTACAACTCGTGTGCCTTGTGTCCCTAATGCACAACGGATATATTAAGGAAAGACTTTGATGCTAGTATCCACGCTCCTAAAACTCCATGCATACATTTAGAAAGCAAGAGGCAAACTCAATCTTAGTGATTAACACAGGACTTGCTTTGCAGTAACTCACCTGTGGCCATAAAGTGGATGGGCCATATCATCTTACCTGGCTTTTCTCTTGGGAAGGTACCTTTCATTTGAGGACTTTCTGTCATTCTGGCTCATGGTCACATAACAGTTCTGCAGATGTCCCAAACATGATTCTCCTTTTCACTGCCATTCTCACCAGATATCAGCCTTTTAGTGATATCAGCAAGATAATTCTTTGTAAGCTTGTATAAGTAAAACTGGGGAAGTGTTTACTCAATTTCAAATATGATGAAATATCCTTTTTTTTTCTGTCTAAAGCAATTACAGGGAATTTTATCTCCATAAACACTGCTTCTAGGTATCTAGCTATTTGAGAATTGACATTTCTTATTTTTTCTATTTTAAGGAGAAAACAAAACAAAATAACAAAAACCAAGACAAAAACAAAACAATACAAAGATAATAAAAACAATACAAAATTTCAAAAGAAGATGATAGGAAGTTAACAATGGTTGTTATATTACCTATTGTTACCTTCAACAAAGTTGGTCAGATTACTCGATGTAAAAATGCAAGATTGGTCAAACAATTAAAGAGAATAAAAAAACAATTAAAAAATTGGAAATGGTGCAGAATTTCACTAATCAAGGTAGTAGGGCTTCAAAAATCGTGGTTATACTGCAAATTGCTGTATTCAAATTAATTGCTCATATTACCAGATATAATCACACAAATTGGTCAGAAAAAGAAAGATTTAAGCATTAACTGTTCCTTTCAATAAACCAATAGACATCAGCAGTGCAATTATCCCAGCTATCCTTGTATATCCATATATATTTTTTCCTCTCTTCCTTCTTCCTTTTCTCTTTTCCCTCATCCCAGTTGTTCACTGCTGGAGGGGCTGCAGAGCAAAAGGAACACTTTTCCACTATTGTTGGGAGTGTAGACTAGTACAACCACTATGGAAATCAGTGTAGAGATTCAGAAAACTAAGATGAGAGGTCCTATTCAACCCAGCTATTCCTCTTCTGGGTATTTCTTCAGAAGAATTGAAAAAACAATGCCAAAGCAACATATGTACACTCATGTTTATAGCAATGCAATTTGTCATAGCTAAATCTTGGAAACAACCCAAGGCCCATGAACTGAGGAATGGGTAAGAAAGATGTGGGATTTTTACACAATGGAGTATGACTCAGCTATAAAGAAGATAATCTTGAGGCTTTTATAGGAAAATGGATGCAACTAAAGACCATAGCCATAAGTGAAATAAATAGACTCACATGGGTAAAAGTCATTTTGTCTCCCTGGTATAAGAACCTAAACAGTAAATAAAACCCTAAAGGTACAATAGATATTGTGAAAGGAAAAGAAGTTGTTCAAAGAGAAGGAACAATTCCTTTGATGATGTCTCCTGGGATGTCCAAACAATGGTTACCCATAGTAAGAGAATTGTGGGGGCAAGGAAAAATCTTATGAAACAAATAGCATTGCTCCTCTGGATGTTGATAGAGTGAAATGAAACCCTCCTTTGATGACTATAGAATGGTAACTAGTACAGCATCAGAAGTATATATGAACAGGAAGCTCAGTAGTGCCTCAGCTGTAATGGGTTGGCTTTGGGCACAGAAGGTTTCTTGGTGCTATCGTAGGCTGAGCATGCTCAGATAGAGCTGAATAAAGATTTTCTACTTATACTATCTATAAATTCCAAATATTAGAACCTAGCAAGTGAAAACATGACTTATTTTGTAAACAGGTAAGCAAAGAAACATAAGGTGAAGCCTTCTTCAAATTTTCATTTTTACATTTTTACCTAAACTTTGTTAATTTTCAAAACTTAGATTTCACTCCTTTTACTTCTGTTTTGTCTCTAATACCCATGTGCTATAGCAAGGAATGGTACGCATCTAAGACTATGAGAGCCTGGGGGATGTCTCTAATAGAGAAGTAAAGAAATTAATAAAAAGTATGGGTGAAAATAAATGATGTAAGTAAACTTCTCAAATCTTGTCCATTATATATTATTTCCCCTGTTGAAAAAGTAGAGAAATGTCCTTAACATTTTGCAGTGATTCTCAAGAGAAGGATCCAGCTTAAAGAGTTGTGAAAACAGAATCACTGTGAGCATGTTTTCAAACCAAACCTCTTACAAACTATCCAGTCATTAAGGGAGATAGAGTTCTTCTCTTACTTTTCTTCATACTATTACAAATGAGCTTACTCAGTTTTTTCATTCAAAATTCTAGCAATACTTACATAAATGCATCATAAGGACATTAAGATAAAAGAAACAACAGTAATAAAACAATGACAATCATGAAGTAAAATGGGAACTGACAATGATTTAAAATTGTTTAATTTTTTAATTAAATAAAATAGTATGTTGCACAACTCATGGTCGATGACAAAATTTCTTATGATGTAATATAATGGAGGTTTAGTGTATGCATGTGCAAATACTCACCCTCAAACACACACATACATATACAAATGTGCACACCCAAACTATGATTCTTTGTCTCTGGATAACCCTGAATAATATAATTTATGATTGTAAAATAGTGTAAAGAATTATACATGTTTAAGTATGAAAGGTCCAAGTTCTATAAAAGATATTTCTGTGATGAATAACACAGAAAGATAACTACACACATCAAAGGAAAAAACCAGTCTTATAACTAATATTTGAGATCAGGAACAATTAGGAAGCAACAAGGGACAGGCTAGTGAGAGTAAGAAATATCAGACAAGGGATGACATCTGCATATGCCCTGTGATATGAAAAAGAGTGCCATGTTCAACAGAGTGAAGGTAAGACAGTTAATTGAAGTGCACAGGTGAAGGAGGGAAATGTATCAAGATGACACTGCTACGTAAGGCAGAGAGCAGTCTACTATAACCTGGAGTCATTTTGAGGCTATCTAGCTGTAGAATAATTTAGTGATCCAGAGATGACTAAGAGGTAAGTAGTATAATCAGATTTAGATTTTTAAAATATCCAAAGAATATTATGATTGAGTTTTAATACTCTCATGTAAGAGTGTAGAATAACTTCAAATAAGAATAACTTAAGAATAACTTCAAATGTTCAAATACTTCTTTAATCACATTTGTAGGCATATTTTGATGGTGATAAGTTCTGCAGTCTATAGATATAAAATAGCTCACTATTTATTTCACTGATAAGAATGGAAGAGTATATGATGAAAGAATATATCTAAAGCAATAATGAAAGTATATATTAATATATGATATACATAAAATAATATTTCAAATCTTGTTTAATGTAAGACCTTTGACTTGACAGAAGTAGTCAAAAATTCCAATTTTACTGAATTATTGAGTGTTTTCAAGTCTCTGTCTACATTTCTTTTCAATATATCAAGGAATCTTGGTATCACAGTTTGATTCGTGTAGGTCACGGTTTGCTTTCAGTTTCAACAAATTAATGTAATAAGCTACTGAAACTATGTCCAACTGTTCAGTTTGGCACACAGTAAAAATATATATGTTGTGAAGAATTTACATCTATATAATGTAAGAAGCCTACAGATGTCACTTAGAAAGTTAGACAGCCAGTTCAATGGAAAAGTAAGCAAAAATGTAACTAACAAAGAAAACAAAAACAAAGAGACAATTCACAAAAAGAAATTCAAACTCATAACTGCCAAAATTAAAAGATAAACTAATGTGAGATATTTTATCCATCATCACATGGCAAACATTAAAATATTTGATAATAATCATAAATCCTTGTCAGAGTTGGGCATTGGTATAAGTTGTGTTTGTGGTGTGGATGCAAAGCATATCACCCAGCAAGTTCTCCTCTATGTATCTGACAGAAACACTTAATCATTACCTATGGGTGTTTTTAGTGAAGAACACTGTCAGTCCATGAAGAACATTTCCATCCATGGAAGTCATTCAGGTAAATATAAACATTACAAACACATATACATGTATAAAATGAATTTACGGAACTGATGTTTGGGAAGAGAGAAAACCTTAAAATAGATATTTTGCCCTTCTGTGTTTCTCTTTTTCAGGCTACAATGCAGATGTTATGTTGGAGATCCAGGAATGAACTGTCTGTAGATAAGAGTTCATCTTGAGAGTGGAGCCTGGTTTCAGGATATTTCAATACAAACATGAAAATAGTGTGTCTGGAGTGACAGTAGGTACATGGCAACAATTCTAGACTTACTAATCTGGCATGTTTACATGGAAAGGGTACAAAAGGCTGTCACTGGATCACTGCACCTTCTGTGTAATCTTGAGCATTGCTTTCTGTGAAGAGGGTGAACGCAGGCTTGCTGTGCTCAGGATACCCCATACTTCTCACTTGCTCTCAATCTGAAGTCCTTTTTCTATCAGCTCGGGACACTAGAATGCCAATAAATGTCATGGGGAACTTTGGGCTAGTATTAAAAATTATTTTTTCCTTCCTACTTAAATCTACATAGGATCGTATTGGGTGAATTTGATAGTATTGGTGGCAAAGTACAGACTGGATAAAAGAAAATTGAGTGTCAGAGGAAAGACAGTCCTTCAAATATTGGCTTGGATTCTTGATTTTTAAAGTTATAAAATTGTGAATATGTTTATTCCTCTTTTTAATACAGACCAAGATACTCTGAACTACTTTAATGTAAATCATTTCAATTTAAGATAATGTCATATTTTGTTACAATATTTAAAGTTTATTTTATCTTATTCCAAAAATATATAGTTTGCACATGTAGTTTCAGTGATTTAGAAAACACTGACTTTTTCTACATTGTGTTACGTTATTAATTCTATTTTATGAATGTTTACTTTTAATATTCTTCTTCTTCCCCTCAGGCCCATGTTACTGAGTTCATTGCTAACTAAGATTTCCTCCATTTCTATAAATTCCCCATTTACCTATCTGTGATACTGTTATTCTTTCTTCCTTTCATGTACTATATATTTTTCTACCCTTTCTTCATGACCATTGCTATAACTTCTTTGCTAAAATTTTAAGCCAGTTCATCACTCAGCAGTTAAATCATACACAATTACTAATGTATTACTGCCAATATTATATTACTGATAATAAATCCTAGAAAAAATCTTTAGATGAAACAAAATCCTTTATATAGAGCTCACATGAATATAGTGTGCAATATCAAACTGCGTATAATTCTACACAGGGCATGAGAATTTACCTTGAATATATGTTGCTTTTCTGTGAAAACGTTCTCTTCCTGATAACATATGGTAAATAAAATACCAAGTAGGGAAATATCTAGCTTTTATTTCTATATTAAAAAACAATAAAAAATTATATATTGATCTGAGGTTTCATAAGACGAAGAAAGAGTATTTCTACAGTAGAAGTCTTGTGGGAAAATTTTCTTATGCCTGTTTTTACAGACGGGTTGTTTTAATGCCAGAGAAACTAGTGTGAGACATAAAATAATATTTTGAAAAGTATGTTATGTAGAACAAATCATTATTACTTGTTTGATCCTAACTAACAATTCAAATTCATTCTATTCTAGACATGTCAACAGGTGTTTCCTGCTACCTTTGGCTGTGTTTTCTTTTAAATTCATAATTAAGTCCCTTAATTTGGGAATAAAGGATTTTCTGGCTCAGTATGTAGTCCACGGCCATACTTATTTTGAATGTCTTCCTGACAGAATCCTCCAACTGTGCTCTAAGAAATCTCTGCTTCTCTCAGCATCCGTGCCTTTGACAATGTCATTTGTCACATGTATTTTCTGTTTACCAATTATCATATTTTCTTATATTCAAACTTTAGCTGATACCTCTCTCTGTAATAAAGCTTCCCTTAGTCATGAAGTATTTATCATTTTCCTTTTAACTGTAATCATTTTTATGCACTAATTTATACATAATGTCATTTTTTATGTCTCAGTGTAATTGTGACAGTTAGCTGTGATTAGTAACTTGGCTGCATTAAGGAATGCTTGGCAGATGGGTAAAGCACACTTTGGGATGTGTCTATGGAGTGTTTCCAGAGATGCTTAACATGTAAGCCAGTAACTCAAGGGGCAAAGATTTGCCCTAATTGTGAGTAGCACCATCCAATAGGCTTGTAGCCTTTGGAATGAAAAGAGAAGGCAGATCTCTACCTGCATTTGCAAAGCTTCTTTGTGCTTGGGTGGGAGAATTATCTGCTGTTGTCATTGCCTATAAACATCAGATTCAGCTGTTTTTAGCCTTTCAAAGTGGCTCATACTAGTGACTCTCTAGGCAGCTTGCAGGCCTGCAGTCTAAGACTGGCAAGACATCCCCAATCCCTTATTCTTGGCTTTAGCTACTGGATCTGCTGGCTGTCCAGCATGCAGAGAGCCATTTGTGAACTATACATTTGAGCCAACAATCTTACCTAGTAAATCCCCTTGCATAATTTAGATAGATAAAGCAGATATTTATTTTAATTTGGTTTTTCTAGAGAACCTTAACCAAGAGAGTAATAAAATATATTTTTTCACTAGTTGTGCATTTAGTTGACTCTCAAAATTTTCTTTTGCTTAATCCAGTAATTTGTTCAATGAGATCCTTTGTGTCTCTTATAATCATCTAAAATTGCATATATAGAATATTATGCACCATTAGTTCTTTATTATAAACTTATTCTAGATAAATATTATATGGCAATTACCTTTGCATTGTGTTGATGAAATATTTAAGGCTTGGCAGAGTTGCGTGTATCTGGGTGAGTTACCGGAGCATGAGGTAGGGTACTGTATCTTTTCACTGACCTCTCCCTTTCTGGCTGCCGTGAGCTGAGCAGCTCGGCTTCCCCATGCTTTTCCACCATGCTGTTTCTGCCCTGTTGCTGGTCAATCACAGAGTGCGCCTCTGACATCACAAACCAAGTAAACCAATTCCTCCTGTAAGCTCTAAATGTCAGATACTTTGTCCCGGCAGAAGGCAAGTTGCCTCATGCAGGGTCTCACTGAAGTGGAGGCTGGCCTTCAATTTGAGATCCTCTTGCCTCAACCTTCCAAGTAGCTGGAAGTACCACTAAACCTATCTAACTTGAAAAGTTAAATACCTAGCATCTGTTTTATAATATGGTTATTGTGGCTATTTTGTAAATCAGGTACATGCAAAGAAAATTGGTGATACAAATCTGAATGCTACAGATTGTGTTGACAAGGTTACAAATGCAAATTCTACATGGTAACCCATCAAATGTAAAATAGGACTTTCATGTAAGCTTAGTTTATTCATGTATTCCATCTGGTAAAGCATTATTCAACTTGGTGAAGAAATAAAGCAAAATATAATAACAATGACATCATGTTTTTCCATGGTTTTTGTCTTTTCTACTTGCCTTTATGTTAATAAATTCAATGCCTTGATATAAAAATTAGAAGGAAGCAGATAATATGTACTAAAAAAGTTTAATTAATATCACACTAATGTAATTAATAACACTCAAATCCATTTAATTAAATTAAGTAATTTAATCATTAGATGATTAGGTTAACAAGCTTACAATGGTCCTCATTTTGTAGTCACATATTAATAAAAAGCCACTGTTAAAAAGGAAGTAGCCCAAGTTTTAAAAATTCATAGCTATGTTTCTAATACATTAAGAATGTTTATATTGTCTCCTATAAGTAAGTGAAATGAATTTGTACTTATCGATAGTTAAGGTAAATGAAGAAATTACATAGTTATAGTGCATTGCAAAGAGTATTATAGTGAAAAAATTCTGCTTTCTGTCTATAAACTTTGGACCATCTGTCTGAGTTTATTAAGTAAATATATTTACTAAGTAATAAATATATCTATTAAGTAAATTTAGTTATATGTTAATATTTAATATAAATTTGATTTCTATGACTTTTTATTTTTATATATTGGAATGAAGAATATGGAATATTAAAGTGAAGAGACTATTGACCAGGGTGTAAGTCAATATTAGGGTGAAAAGAAAGACAGAATTAACTTTCCATTGTTAACCAGATCAATCTTTCATTTTCTTCTTTCTGAGCTCATCCGCCATTATGAAAAGTACAATTATTAAATTTAAATCGTTATAAAACTCATGACATTGCTAAGTTATTTACGTGGCCTAAATATGTGCAGTGACCAATTTCTCTACTGCAATCATTTCTTTTATTTCCCTGTACATGATTGGGTATGTTCTTTCTGACACAACAAATTTTGATATATCTGAAAACTGATGTTTACCATATGTGAAATATTTATAAAATATTTGATAAGTACATGAAAGGAAATAGATTAATATACTATAATGTTAACACTTTGCATAGGCAGTTGATTTTCATGATTCATGGATCCTCTATTGATGAAACTGCAACTGAATAGTCAATATTCCTGGAGTTTCTAAATTTACTCGGAGTAACGCACAGAGCACTGGACATTTTGAGATGTGCACATGTTCCCAGCTGTAATCAAACAAACGTTGCTCTTTCCATTTTGCTCTTTAAGCACTCATTTAATTTGTCTGTGATTTCATTGCTTAAAGTGCCTTAAGTAGAGTGCTGAGACACTGTCCAGTGTGAGTAACCTCAAGAAGTCAGGGATTACCCTTACAGAGAGGAAGCAAATGAGATGAAGCTCATTTAGGCACGAGATACAGTGCTGTTGGCTGTGAGTTCCATACCAACAAACTGATTTCAGCCAGAAAAAGGATCCACAAGTGCTGCAATACTGTCTCTAATTCTGGAGGAGGCTATGGAAAACATTTACAAATGTTGCAATTTACAGATCCATGAGATGACCACTAATAATAAAAACTTAGTAGAGAGTGTTCTTGTGTGACTAAAAACCCAGTAAATTTACAGTCACGTTACCCAGAGTCATGAGAATGTTAAGCCCTTCTTGGCTAGCACTGGCTGGCTCACACTTTCGGGAGGCACTATGTCTTCACAAATGTTAAATTTGCAGGAAACGAAGGTGCAGCAGATCAGGAGGCTAAGGAACAATTTTTTAAATTACCTACTGGGTATGAAACAGGAAAAGAAATATATGTAAGACAAAGTTTTCAACAATGATGAGTTTCACTTCTCTTACAAGAATGCTGGCAAACAAACTATATAATATCACACATGGTCTCCAAAGCCCTTGGCATTATATCTTTCCAAGACCATTCATCTAATTGTTTGTACATGTATTAAAGTGGCTTAAAGAAAAACACACACAGAACAGGTTATGATGATTTGACAAAAATGTTGTGGCCTAAAGAAACCTAGGAACTATTGATTCATATAGCTTGTAATACAATTACTATGAATAATAAGTGACAATTATATTCTTTACAAGGACTACTTTATAGTCTACTTGTTGAAAACAATATGATCCAGTCTTCCCACTGTACATGTAGCTCTTTGACTAGACTTGCTCCTTCCTGTTGATCTTCTTTGGGATGTTTTCAGATTTATGTTGCTTAATTTTCATTTGTTTTCTTTTCCTCAAGAAAATCTGGGCTCTGATTTGTCTATTTTTCATCTGTGATCAGAAAGTATAATCAAATCTCACTTGTTAAATTATTGCTACTGTTGCTACACACGCCATATCCATTGTATAAAGTGCAGTATAAGAATAAGGAACACTGGGAAAAGCTGGTGACTGGATGTATAGCAAATTCTTTGTAGTTAACAAGGAGGCAGCAAATTATGGCCCACAGATAAAATAGAGCCTACTACCTACTTTTATAAATAAAGTTTTATTAGAACAAACCCAGGGCCATTCAGTTTATGGCTGCTTTGACACTACTATGGCAGGTTTGAAACACAGATACAACAGAGATCTTGTCCTCTACACAGCCTAAAATATTTATTATTATACATTTTATAGAAAAAGATTACTGAATTTAACTACCTCAAATAAAATGACATTTCATCTTTGGTCTCTCATCTAGTACTTTCTTGTTCATTAATTTCATATTTTAATCTGTATGTCTACCATTATTATTCATAGTAACACTATCACCAATCCTATGATATTTATAAAAGTTATAAAATAATTTCAAGTGTCATTGTATCTAAATTTTACAATTTTTCTGTAGATGGGGCTAATAGAAAATACAACTGAAATCATAATATCATATCTGTTCTTCTACTAATTTAATAAATTTATATAGCCCCAAGTTAATTTTCAGCATGATTCATGTTCTTACCTAAATGCAATGGTGGATCCATCAGAATTCAGGTAAAATGTGAAAATGTTATCTCCTGATTGGTGGTATTTTAAAGCATGGAGAGAGTTCTTAGCACATAGTAAAATTTCATTAGTGATTCCCATTCAATATCCCGATTCTGTATGCAGAATCTTCCCTATTGAAGATGATATCTTGGGTTTAGATCTCAAGTCCTTCTCTTATGTAAATCAATCAACTCACCTCATATAAGACTAACAAATGGCTTCCAAATTTGGTGGTTTAAAGCAATATATTTTATTGTCTCATATCTTGTGAGGTTTTGCAGTTTGGAAATGTCTTATCTAGCTCAGGGTTTCTTGTAAGACTGAACTCAAAGTGTCACTAGGATTGTGCTTATCTGGAGGCATAAGTGGGGCAAGAGGATTTCCTTCCAAGCTCACACTCTCAGCTGTTGGCAGAAGGCCTCAACCCTTTGCTGTCTTCTGGCTGGAGACCTCAGTTACTACATGGGCCTCTTCACAGTGCTGCTTTTCGTCATTTGAGCTGGCTTCCCTCAGAGAAAGAGATCTGGCAGATCAACTGGAAAACAACGATGCACTCTATGAAATAGTCTCAAAATTCACACACTGCATTATAATTGCATTGTTTTTGTATGAAACAGGGCACAGAGCCTGCCCCACACTCCGCGGAAAGCCATAGATCTGCCTTTCAAAAGGAAAGAGGATCAAAAATATGTAGCTATTGATACTATCACGCACAACCTGCCCTCATTTCCTCATCTATAAAGATTATTGTTTTGAGAATAATTCAAATTTATGTTTTTAATTATTTTTAATTTTTAAAAAATTTGCTATATTCAGATATGGCAAAGCACAGTGAAATAATTCTTATTCTTAGGAAATGCTAAGCAACAAACCATAGATTATATCACCAGACATCATGTTCCCTTGGGGAGAACACAAAATTATGCATACTCGTACAAGTAAGGCAGGGATGTCGCCTTGTCTAGCACTGCCCCCCTTCAGTACGTACAAGGACAACTGAATCTATATCCATCCAAAATGCAGTTTTGGAAGGTACTACACTCATTCTTTTCATAACTTACTTAATTACTTAGCAATATCTGTAGAGTTAGTTTTGGCCCAAAAGAACAAATACTCACAATATTTATATGAAGCATAATTTGGTGAACAGAGAATTTTTTCATTAACATTGAGAAAAATGCAAATGCAGTTCATAATTTATAACTTGTAGCAGTTCTCAGCTTTTAATTCATTCTCTCAGAGAAATATTCTCTGATTTTCTGAGTGGGAAACTTTTTTGTGTTTGATCTCATAGCACTTGGCCGTTTCCTTATCAAAGTATTTATCACATATTATTGTAAATGTCTTATGTTGCCTGAATTCCAATAAAGTTTGTAAAAGACATACCAGAAAGGTGCAGTGGATTACTTGCAAATTATTATATCTTCAAGGTCATGTAAAATATTTTATACTGATATAAGACTTGAATACAAATTTCTAGAGGAAATGTTGAAAAATATAGTTTTAAAGTGAGATGATGCTTACAATGTACTATTCAGTATTCATACACTTTACGTCAGGAAGTATATTTTGTGTTTCACAAATATTATATAGTTCATACAACCACTTAAAGAAGTGCCGATTAAAGTTAGATTTGGTTTCAAGTCCTGAGTTTATCATTTATTCATGTCTGTTTGATGAGAAACAAGTAAGATACCATCTATAAATATTAGTTTCCTTGTTTGTTAAGAAGGAGGGGAGAGGAAAAACAAAGAAGGAAGAGAGAAAACACATGTATAAGTATATACAGGATAGTTAGGATAATTGCACTACTAATATCTGTTGGTTTATTGAAAGAAACTTTTAGGAACTGTTTGATCAGTCTTGCATGACTATATCTGGTTTTATGTACAGCCGTTTTGGAGATGACAGTAGATCATATAACAACCATTGTTAATATCCTATCGCCATGTTTTGAAATTCTGCATTATTGGTCTCTATGCTGTTTTGTTTATGTATTTTTTTTGTTATTTGGGCATTTTTAAAATGAGAAACAAATTTATATGTATATATAAGGATAGCTGGGGCAGGTATATTGCTGATTTCTTTGATTTATTGAACAGTCAACACTTAAAACTTTCTTTTTTCTTGACCAGTTTTGCATGCTTGGATCTGGTAATCAGAATGACTGATCTGAAAACAACAATATGCAGTATAAGAACCATTGTTGAACTCCTACCATCTTGTATGGTGAAGCTCTGCATCATTTCCAATTTTTTTTTTTTTTTTTTTTTTTTTTTTACTTGTTTCTGTCTTTGATTGTTTGATCAACCTTACATTCTTATGGCTGGTGGACTGAGCAACTTTGTTAAAGATAAGAGTATGTAATGTAGTAACCACTGTAATTCCTGTCATTCTGTTTTGACATCATGTATCGTTTTTGTTGTCTTTGTGTTGTTTTGATTTTGTCTTCATTGTTGTTATTAATTTTTATAATTTGTAAAAATAAAACAAATTAAAAATTAAAATAACTAAAAATAAAATAAAATAGAGCAAATAGCATTTTCTTATATTATTTAAACCCTGTATTAAATAGTTACACATATACACAGCTTGTAAACAACAGAAACTAGTTTTTCTACAGCTTGCCCGTGTATTAAGGTTTTTTTTCCACAGTTTTTCCCAGGTAACTTTTTCTCCCTGCTGTTTCACTTTAAATCATCCATGCTAGTTTATCCATCACAATATATTCTTTGTTTTATTTAAGTTTAGCAGCATATCTCTGTTACTTCCCAATCTTGGTGAACTTTCCCAATGTATTTGTCCTTTTGTAGCTCTGTCTCTGTCTCTGTCTCTCTCTCTCTCTCTCTCTGTCCTCTCTCTCTGTATATGAGTGATTGTTATGTTCATGAAAAAGTTTCTGCACAATTGGAAGGACTTCTTATGGTGTTTTAAAAATAGACTAACATTATAATTGGTGTATAAGCACTCCCTGCTCCCAAGGTTGTCTATTAGATAATAACTACCATAAATAATTTAACAGAAATGCCTGTGATCCTCTGGGGGAGTTCAAACTCTGTCTTTCTCATTAGAACTTTTCTTTACTACTTACTGTGCTCATCACAAGTGAAATCCAGGTCTTTACAGGTTGCATGGAAATTACTTTTTATTTATGTGTGACACTGCACATGCCTTCTAAATGTATTACTGCTCATCCATATACTCAGAATTTAAATAATTTATGAACAAACATTCATGATATGCATTTTCAAGTTAGATCCCATTCATGAAAAAATTCTGGTGCCACAATGATTTTTAAACATTTATACATTTTTAAAGTCATGAATTATTTCACTTAATGTAGAATTTTGAAACCAGAATAATTGTATTGCAACTTATATTCTCAGAGAATTGATAATATTTGCCATAATATTGCTTATAGCTAATAAGATATCTCTTGAAATAATATTCCATATAACTTCAATGTATAGTATTCTAAATTCTCTCCATAAATTATATTTCAATTGATGACATTACAAGGTTCCAAGCACTCTAAACTAAAGTACTAGTATTCAAAACTGATTGAATAGAAAACTCACTGAACACCCCGTTTTTATAATTTACCTGTCTATAAAAAACTATGTATTTGGTAACTTTGTTTAGGGTTCCATCATTAATTCTAATTTTACTTCCAAAATTCCATCACAAAAGTAATCATTAACCTAAAAAACTGCTTCAAGAAACATTTGAGTTCACTTTCTAATTAAGCTAAGCTATACAAGTCAGTACATTTTCTGTTAGCATGAGCTCCAACATCTTATTAGACTTGTAAATGTTAATTTTAAATGGAAACATTCTTTTGAGTATGAGAGTGGTTTATTGCCTTATTCTGGCCCAAAGTAACATAATAAACTGCTAGAATTTTAATTTAAAACAAAGTTTAAATGCTATTGTGGTTTGCCAAGATTATCCTTCATAAAAATTTCTTGAATGTTTATTTGTCAACAATTTATGTAATTATCCCATATTAATGTGAAACCAAAATGGAACCGAACACGTTCACATAATTTTGGAAAGCAAGAAACTTTCTTTTGTCATGCTTTAATGGCCATAGGAATAAAGAAAAAGAATCTGAATTAAATCAGGGGAATGGGCAGAGGTATTAAGGTGAAAGAAACTTGATTTTTGTTTCAACAACTATTGCTGTCCACACGCTTGAATAGAAACTATTTTATTCTACATGTTAAAAACTCTTAAAATCAAATCAGTGGTGCTTTTTTGCTATTTCTGTTTTATCATTGATAAGAATTTGACATAGAAGAAAATATTACAGATTAGGTATGGCTTTATCCTTTACATAGATGAGTCGTTCTAGAAAATCACACGTCAGCAATAAGTGGTCATCTCTTTGTTGCATATTTTCCAGGAATTTGGTAAAGTAAGATTAAATAACACAAATGCATTTTGTAAAGAAAAACTAAGTATTATGTGTCCTATTTCCTAAAATTCTACATCTCTCTTTCACATGTATATGTGTTTCCATCCATATGGCAGAGAGTCACATATGACTCATCTGTTATGGAAGCTGGACTAAGTCTGTGAGACTTTCAAGCACACCTCATGCTTTGTGTGTCACACAATCTGGAATGGCAGTGTTTTGCATGTAACACATTTTAACATAACTCAGAAAATGAAAAGTGCTGCTTGGTAATTTAGACAGGTTGAAAAAAGAGCAGCACAAAAGAGTACTTCAAGCCTGTAAGGGACACGGAGAATACAGTCAATAAAAATGTGTATACTACTTTTCTATGTGTGTAAAACAGGAAATAGTTCAAGTACCCAATAGTTACCGTGTCATTGTATATATTAATACAACCACATCTGACTGGAAACATAGCTTATATTTTTGGAAAAGAAACTTCCAAAGGCAGACTTGAGCTTTTACACTCAGATGTCAACCAACAAGGTGAATAAGTCTTTTTGGCTTCTGTTTTGTTTGAAACCTGGGACAAAAGCACTGTGGTATATAACAAAGCATTCATATGTTATATATCATGGGGCTAAATTTTTTTAAGATCAAATAAATTTATTTAAAATATGTACCTAAAAATAACAATCATGCTCATAAATTGTCTGATTTTAAAATAGATTCTTATGAGGCCAACAGTTTATTCACCGATTTCCAGATTAAAATATGTATACATACTTCACACCATTTCAAATTTATAAATAATGATTATATTTTATTGTCATGATTATTTGGTATGTCATATGTGCTATAGTTGACATTACAGATTAAACAAAAATATAAATAAAAACAACAACAAAAACATACCACATTGAAAATGAAGAATGCCCCACAAAGCGGTAAAAAGTCCTTGGTAAAATTCTCATGCAATTATCACAGTGAGTGATAGGGATAAATTAAAATATTTACATTTTAGTGGAAAATATAATATTCATTATAATTTTTACCTCATAGTACATATTAAACATAGGTACAGAAAGACAACTATACAAAAAGAAAATAGCAAATTCATTCTCTATGCTCTAATACTTCAGCAGTAAAAAAACAGTGCAGACACATAAAATTTATTTTCCTTTTTTACATATGAGCAATTGAAGTCTGGGTCTTTTAACTTGTAATAGAATAGTTTTGTAATGAAATAGGTGTTTAAAACTAGAGCTTCTAGAGTGCAGAGCAACTAAAGCAAATCTCCTATGGTTGCAGGAAATCTGGAGGATTGTCTTAGTTACTTTTCTCATTGCTGAGACAAAATGTCCAGCACCCAATGTTAAAGGGGGAAATATTTATTTAGCTAAGAGTTTGTAGAGATTTTAGTCCATAATCAGCTGGTTCCAAGGCAGGATGCCATATGGCAGTGGGTCAACAGCTCATGGGGTCAGAAGACAGAAGAAGCAAAGAGAGAGAGAGAGAAAGAGAGAGTGAGAGACAGAGAGACAGAGACAGAGACAGAGAGATAACACTCTTTCTTCCCTGATATATGGAGGCTACCCACCATAGAGATGGGATAACACTCACACCCATAGTCCCACCATGAATCAATCACAAACTCTAGATTCAGTTGCCCCTGAAAATCCCATTCCCTGTGATGCTATGAGGCTTTGGGGGACATCCAGACACATAGAATAACATTCCACCCTTGGGCCCTCAAAGACTCATGCACATCCCTTTATACAAAAGGCATTTAGTTCATCTTCAAGAGTTGCCACAGTCCTAACAGTTCCAGCATTGTTGAAAAGTACAAGTCCAAACTCTCCCCTGAGATTTAAGGAAAAATCTTAGCTGTGAGCCCCTGTACAAATGAAAAGAAAATTAAACATTTCCAACATTCAATGGTGCAAGACAGACATTTCCATTCCAAAAGTTATAAACAGGGGAAAGTAAAGGGATGGGACCAAAGCAAGTCCAAAATTCAGCAGGGCAAATATTAAATCCTACAGTTCCACATGTGAAATCCAAGGCAATCTGTGGCAAGATATGAACTTGGAAGGAATTGGGTGGCTCTGTCCCTAGGGCACTTTCCGCGGTTGTAGCTCTCATGGCTTATTTCTTGGCTCTGCTCTCTTCTTGCATGTTTCCTCAGATGACCATGTTTCTGGTTTCTCTGAACTTCTAGGATGTACACCGTATCTTTGGCTTCATACTCATAGCTTCACACACTGCCCTTTCAGATACACACTGCTTGGACTTTCTGGCCTTCTTCTGAAATTGAGGGGGAAGCCTCCTGACCCGACAGCTCTTGCATTCTTCATTTGCCTACAACAAGCTCCACATAGATGATGACGATGCCAAGGTCTGCTGCCAGCTGGAGCAGTAGCGAGGCTTCCTTCTTTCTTGGCTGTAGGGGTCAAGTGTCCTGACTGCTGAGCAATCTTCATCTAATTCTGAGAAACAAATTATCTATGCTGCTGCCATTCTGGAACATGGTGGTCTGCGGCTTTTTTCTCAAAGCAGTCTTTCACTTTTGCAATTTTGAGGCTGTGGAGGGTAGAGTCCTGGTACTTCTTATGACACCCTCAGGCCATCTTTTCTATTCTCTTGTTCCTTCTTAGCAATCAAAATCTCCTCTGCTCTGTCTTTGCAGTCCACAACTTTACTGAAGCTTCCTTTCTGGCTAAACTCAAAGTGTTTTAAATCATTCTGCTGGGGTCTTTTCTTTTTGTTTGTT